AGAGAGAGAGAGAGAGAGAGAGAGAGAGAGAGAGAGAGAGAGCTCCTTCGAGCTAAGACTCAAATCCAGGGCCTTCCTCAACATCATGGTCTTTCTTCTAATGGGATCCCGTGGTTACAGGAAATATCGAACACATTTTCCCACTCTCAGTTTACACTGGTCCAGGCCTAGACTACCATCAATTTTTACCTGGGGGTCAATTTTCAGAGCATAGTCTTGAGGACAAGAACATTGATTAGTTGTTTTAACTATTATGCCAGGATCACAGACTCAGGCCAGCCATCTCCCAAATGAATGCCTTTTTTTTCTCCATGGAGAAAAGATGAAATAGAACCTCAATTCTTCCGATTTATTGTGTAGGTTAGGAGCATCATACAGTAGTTTGAATGTATATAATTTAGGAATGTTGATAGAGAAACTGTCCCTTACCTGGACCGGAGGCGCGCTCTCAGCACCTAACACTTGCCTATAAAAGGTGGGATCGCAGCTTCGTAGAGTGTTCTGGAGACTTCCCATTGGGCTTGGAGCACAAGGCTTCTTTAGCAGTAAGTCGCTGCGACGAGAGTCTGTAGTGAGGTATACCTGGTGGTAGAGATGGGGGGACATCAGGCCTCCTCGGACAGCATCCACGTGCAGGGAGGGCCCAGGCGTTCTGTATAGCGAAGTCCCAGAGGAACTGTACAGGTCCCTTGATTTTCTCCATTTGTAAACTCGAAATATGATCACTCCTAGCACGGTGACTGCAAACCCCACGGAGACTAGGATCACAGACAAAAGCAGATAGAAGGTGAGATTTTTATTTTGCTCTTGGGGAGCCGATCCGGATGGGAACTCGACCTTGGCATCGGGGAACACTTCTGTCACTGACACCGTCAGGGTCACGGTAGTGGACAGAGGGGGCTCCCCATTGTCTTTTACCAGGATCTCCAGCTTATGCCATGCTGGGTCAATGTCTTGGACTGGTCGAGTGGTACTGACTTCTCCAGTTCTGAGCCCTACGGTGAAGAGGCTCTGGTTTGAGGCTCCCAGAAGGCTATAGGAAAGCCATGCGTTATGGCCTGCGTCAGCATCCCAGCCTACTACACGAGTAAGCAAGTGGCTAGCACCACTGCCTCGAGGCAGGGTCTGGGTGGAGCTCTGACCAGGCCTCGGGTAAAGGATCTGAGGAGCATTGTCATTTCGGTCCATGACAAACACGTTCACGCTAATGTTGGTGGATAGGGGTGGGCTGCCCCCATCGCTGACATGTGCCGTCAGCTCAAACTCACGCTGATCCTCGTAGTCCAGGGGCACCAAGGCGGACAGGACGCCGCTGTCCGGGTGCAAGGCAAAGTATCGACCCACCAGCCCAGTTTGGTGACCTCGGTCCAGGAGTGAGAAGGATAGACGGGCGTTGTTGGGGGCGTCAGGGTCCCAAATACTCAGGTTCAGGATTGCAATCCCTGCAAGGTTGTTCTCCTCCACGTAGACATCGTACGAGGGCTTTGTGGCTTGTGGAGGGTTATCATTAATGTCAGACACTTGGACTCTAAGTGTAGTGACTGTTGAGAGGGGCGGGGACCCTGCATCTCGGGCTATGATACTGATGTTGTACTCTGGAACAGTTTCACGGTCCAGGGAGGTACTGGTTGTCAAGGTAAAGTAGTTTTTTAGGGAAGAAGTGAGGCTGAAGGGGAGGCCAGATGGAATCTCGCACCTCACCAGGCCATTATCCCCGGAGTCCAGATCAGTCACACTGAGCAAGGCGACCACAGTCCCTGGAAGGGCGTCCTCAGGGACCGGGCTGTACACGGAGGTGACAACGATCTCTGGGGCATTGTCATTCACATCTATGACCTCAACCAACACTTTGCAATGGGCTCCTTCGGGGTTGGGGCCCTTATCTTTCGCCTGGATATAAATCTCATATAGCTTCGTGTCATCGAAGTCAAGCCGCCCTCGTATTGTCAGCATTCCAGTGACGACGTCTAGAGAGAAAAGGTCCCGCACTCGGGCCCTATTGTGACTGCCGAAGGAGTAAATGACTTCTCCGTTTGGTCCTTCGTCCAGATCTGTTGCGTGAACTTGTACCACTGGAGTGCCTGGGGCCGCATCCTCCCGCACACTTGCCCGATAAAGAGAATGATTGAATTGGGGGGTGTTGTCGTTGGCATCAAGCACAGTGATTAAGATGGGGAGACTAGCAGAACGGGCTGGTGTTCCTCCGTCCAAAGCTGTCAGTACCAGCTCAAGGGTCCTCTCATGCTCACGATCTAAGGCTTCTTCTAGCACCAGCTCCGCATACTTGCTGCCATCCTCTCGAGTCTGCACGCTCAGCACAAAGTGTTCATTGGCACTTAGCTCATAGGTTTGTAAAGAGTTAATTCCCACATCTGGATCGTGTGCACTCTCGAGAGGGAAGCGCGCCCCCGGCGCCATGGCCTCACTGATTTCGAGTTTCATTCCATTGGTAGGGAAAGCGGGGTCGTTGTCGTTGACATCCTGAATCACCACCTCCACCCTTTGCAGCTCCAAGGGTTTCTCCATTAGCAGCTCCAAAGTTACAGTGCAAGACGGGAGTGTCCCGCACAACTCCTCCCGGTCCAGTCTCTCGTTCACGAACATCTCTCCCGTCTCCCGATTCACCTCAAAGAACCTCCGGCCAGTTCCGGAGGCCACAAACAGCCTGCGCTCCAACAGACTGCTGAGATCCAAGCCCAGATCGACGACCACGTTGCCCACTCGGAAACCCTTCGCCCTTTCTTCCGGGATCTCATAGCTGATGAGCGCGGAAACGCTGTCCCAGGCGCCAAGCAGAAGCAGGACTCCCACCACTCTCCCAGTGCTGAACCGGCGGCTTCTCCCGGCAGCTGGGACCATCTCAGTCAGTGGCAACTTCTTTAACCTAGTTTGCCCCAGTAGTTCTTCCAGAGAAACTTTCTTTCAGTCGGTCCGCGCTCGGAGGTTTCGGGCTAGAGCGCTCGGCGCAAAGTCGGACATTGCTTTTTCCGCTTTCTGGGAGCCTTTGATTCGCTCGCCGGCTTCTCAGTCTGTGCCTTGTCCCGGGGCACAGTGAGGGGGCGGGGGGGGGGGGGCCGACCGGACCCACAGTGGCCAGATCTCCAGCCTCTTCATTGGCCGACAGCGGCACACACAGTCCCAGCCAATAACTGCACGAGGAATGTGCTCGCGCAGGTTCTACCAGTCGCACTCTTTTCGGCGCGCAAAGAACCTGAGTTTCCTTCCGCTTCTTGCCTATGTTTCCAGGCATTAGAAGCTTACTACTCACCGCCTACGCAAACTATCTGAACCTGAAGAGCCAACTCCCCCGAACTCTGCCGAGTCACAGTAATCCAAACTGAAGCTCCGTTTAATTAAACGTTGGGACCGTTCGTTCTCTGCATTTTCTCCACTAAGAGCAAAGTTTTGCTTAGCGAAACCAAAGTTTCGCGGAGTGAAACCAGTTTCTAGTGAGAATTTCTCGCACTACTATTAAATTTTCGTAGCTTAGATAATGCCTTTAGGCACGAAAACAGTATTCACTACAACGTCTAAGCATTGATACCTGTGTTGCCCGACCGTTCTGGCTCGCGTTGAAGCAAGCCCAGACAAAACTTGTGTATTGGGAATGTTCAGCTAACGTTTCCCTCTGTGGAGACCCTAATGGTCTCTTTCGGCATCAAATCAGATGAGAGGGGCGAACAATTCTGCTTATTTTGCCTCCTTCCAATGAAAGCCAGAAGCTACACCTTGAATTTTTCTCTCAAAAGTGTGTGTGCCTTTGATCTCTCTTACTTTCTAGGAGCCAAAGACCAAGAAGAAAATTTTTTCTGATCTGCCTTTCCCTAAAGCACGCGATCACAAACACTCTCCCCATTAATGATTAGTTTTCCCAAGCAGGAAATCTGAATTTTGGTGTGTCCTAAGGAATTGGTATTGATATCGAGTTAATCTGATATGATATTGTATTGAAAAATGTCGGTGCACTTGCAAATCGATAGCAAAACTCTATGGTTTTCTTGGAGAGAAACAAAGACTTTAGTCGTGATAGGTCCAACAGTCACTGGCCTGTGTCACATCTACTTTTGTATCCTCAAGGGTTCAAGACATAGTAGGTGTTCAATAAATATTTGTTGAAATGATTGAGGTACTATTCATAGAAGGACTCTTGTCAGTTAAGAGGATGTACAGAACAAATTTCTTGTGCAAATCACAGTACTGGGTACAGTATTGAAGTTCCTGAGTCAGATACAACAGATGAGTGTGGGGACTGAAGAGGGGAGCTACTAGTCTTGAAGTCAGAACACTGGGGTTGGATCCTCAGGCTTACACTTTCCTTGTGACACTGGGCAAATATTTTCATTATCTGTAAAATGGGGATAATAGATATTCTGCCTTTAGATTCCAGTTGAAACTCCAACCTCTACAAAGACTTTCCTGACCCCCCTGATCTTAAATTTATCCTGCAAGTATCTTGTTTGTACACAGTTGTTTATATTTGTCTTCTCCAATTAGACTGTGAGCTTTTTGAGAACAGGGATTTTTTGTTGTTGTTTTGTCATTCTTTGTATTTCCAGCACTTAGGACAATGCCTAGCACATAGTAGGTGCTTAATAAATGCTTGATGACTTGATTATGCCTGCTTCAGGGAATTGTTGGGAAGATCAAATTGGGGTAATGGATTGAAAAGTGCTTTGTAATAATAAAGTAATATATTTATAGAATCTCAGTGTTGAGAGGGACCTCAGAGTGCCTCCAGTCCAATCTGAGTTGGAATTGTCCTTGCAACTTCCCTGACAAATAGTTATTCAACTTTCATTTGAAAACCTCCATACGTGGGCATTTCATTACCTACCAAAGCATCTCATTTGGGCAGCTCAAAAAGTTGAGATGTTTTTCCTTAAGTTCCTACATCCACTACATGTAGACCATAACATCTCAGTCTCCACTGTAGTCTATGAGAAATTTGACAGGGAATAGGAAGATGGGGGGAGGAAGGGGAAAAGTTGGCTGGGCCAGATTACATATACATGGTTGAAATCCACAGCAGCAAAGACACTATCTTGAAAGCATTAAAGGATTCCTTAATAAGACATTTTACGGAGGGGAAGGTACCAAGATAATGAAAAAAAAATCATGGGTCATGTTCATATATTCCAAAGGAGATTGAAAAGGCTCCTAGATCATAT